CCCAGCCCCTACCTGCACCATCATGAGGGTCTTGCTGTCGCCGCTGAGCGAGTCCTGCAGCAGGTAGGTCAGCTTGGAGTTGCGGAAGGGCACGTGGCCCTGCCGGGAGCGCAGGGCGTAAATGACGTCGCCCAGCGCCGAGAGAGACTTGTTGATGTGCTGTGCCTCGCGGAGCCGACTGCCTTCCGCGCCCGAGCCACGCTCCGACCCCGCCAGGTCCACCAGGTTCAGCTTCCCTGGGGGCACAGAGCCAAACCCCCGCTGGGATCAGCGTCTGGCCCCACGCACCCCTGGGATGCCCCGGGGAGGGGCTCAATATGGCACTCACCTGTGGTGCGGAGCCCGGTGCTGCGGTCGAGGCCACGGACGGTGATGATGAGGAGAGCGTGGGAGCGGGAGCTGTGCTCGTTCAGGTTGGTGCACTCTGTCACTCGGTTGACATGACCAAACTCAAAGACCTAGGGGAGCCCGGGGAGTTGGGGGGTGAGGCCAACCTGCCCCAATTCCACCCCAACCCCCTGTGGTGCCTGGGGACACAGCCTAAGCAACAGCCCCCCACGAGGTGCCTGGTCCATCAGGGTGATGACCACTGTCAGGTCTCAGCCTGGGTGATGCACCAAAGGCTGGGGGTGACAGGCAGGGCACTGCACTGACAGCCGCAGCCTGCTAATCCCCTGGGAACTGCCTGGGCCCCACGCTTTTATTTTTAACCCCCTGCGGCTCACCCCATGGAACAGTGACTGCCACATCACACCCAGGGTCCTATTTTGGTCTCTGTCCCTCCCCAGCGCTTCAGAAATGCTCCCAAATCCAAGAGTCACACAGCAGAGACCCTTCCCCCAGTTCACTGCACTCCTGGTGCCACCCCCTCCTGTGTCCATTACCCCCCATCTCCCCACACCTTGTTGATGTCCTCCACGCTCTGCACCCTGAATTCAGTCAGCCCAGGCACGTACAGCTGTCCACTGCCATCAGGGCACAGCTTGATCTCCAGCTTCTCCTGTGGCTCCTTCCCCAGCAAGTCCCTGGGTGAAAAGGCAGCTGTTACCATCCCCATCCCAGGGGGGTGTTGGCTCCCCTCCAGCACGGCATCCCTGCCCTGGCACAGGGCTGTGTGCCAACACTGCCAGGGCAGCCGTCTTGTCCCGGGAGAGCTGCATGTTCTATTTATAACCTCAGCTCTCTGCCTCCCATGTGCCCTCTCCCACTCAGCTCAGACCATGCTCCCATCCCTGTTACCCATTATTCTCATGGATGCACTCCCAGCTTCCTCCTGACCCCTCCTGCCTGTGGCTGGGCAGGGGAGGAAAATATTTCTCATGCTCTCATCTCCCAGTTAGTAATTCCTAAATATAGCATCCGTGGGCAGGGGCAGGGTGGAAACAGGGATGCCCCGGCTGCTGCATCAGGGCCTGGGAGTGGGATGGCAGGGCTGGGAGCCTGTATAAGTGATGGAACTCATGGGAAGGGTAGTGTGCACCAAAATAAATTAAAAATAATTCCTTGCCTGGCCAAATGCAGTGCCTAAGGCACTGGGACAAGCTGTAAGGGCTGGTGGGATGGGGGGAGAGCAGCATGGAGTGATGCCCAAAAAGCTTCTCCCCTTCCCTGTACCTGAGTGTCTCGTTGTAGATCTCGGCGGCACTGACACTGATGGCATAGTCCCAGTCGGCTGCTTTGCCCCGCACCTCGGAGAAGAGGAGCTGCAGGGCTCGCTGGTTGATCCCTGGGTTTGCTGCTGTCCCCTGATGGATTGGGGTGAGAAATAGAGGGGAAAAATACCCTCTTGCATTTTATTCTGCAAATTTTTTTCTGAGCGGAAGCAAAGCTCACAAGGGTGTTGCAGAGCAGCAGTGAACATTACTGGTACACACTGGGTCCAAGCTGGCCACAAGCCTGGTTAGGAGAGGGTGCCAAGACTGGGCACAAGGGGATGGGAGGATGAGGAAGATGGAAGAAAAACCAAGCAAACTCACCTCCATTGTGTAGGTTTTTCCTGCTCCTGTCTGTCCGTAGGCAAAGATGCAAACGTTGTAGCCGTCGATGCAGGAGGTGACCAGGGCTTGAACCTCCTGAAATACCTGGGGAGGACAGGGGAGAGTCAGGAGAAGGTGGCTGCATCCCTGCCTCACATCAGCAGCATGGATGGCAGCACTCACCTCCTCCTGGGATGCTTGTGGGGGAAAGACCTTATCCAGCTCGAAGGACACCTGCTTCCCCTTGTGCAGGAGGTGCAGGACAGCGTCATCGTCAGCATCGAAGGTCACTGCGTTGGCTGCCTCCGGGCCCTCACCATCCTCCTTTGTGATGGGACGGACTCGCCCGAAAACACGGATGTTTCCTTGGAGGGGGATCCAGGGATGGTGTCAGCCCCAGTCATCCAGCTGCTACCCACTTTAGCACCAGGCAAGCTGATTGTTGCAGCCCACTGCCACCAAAGCATCCTGCTGCCAACCCAAGCACAATATGGGGATGGTCCCCTGTCCATCCCACCCCCGACCAGGGACACACTCTCCCACGACGGGACCCACCAGCCCCCACACACCTTTCAGCCGCACCAGCTCGTTGTGACACTTCTTGCGGAGCTGCAGCTCCCGCCGGTACTTGCGCAGCAGCTCCCTGTTGGTGCTGTTCACCTCCTCAATGGCCTGGCTGATCTGGGGGTGGAGAGCAGTGGTTCAGCGAGCCCCCAGCACCTCCACCCCACAAGGAGGGGAGCTGGGTGGCGGTCGCGGGGGGCTCACCTCGGCCCTGGCGCTGCGCAGGGTCTCCTGGAGGAGCAGGGGGAAGTCGCGGACCTGACGCTTCAGGCTGTTGTAGTCGTGGGTGAGGGTGCGCAGCGCTGGCTGCAGAGTCAGCAGGTTGGTCCGGACACCTGCAGGCACAGAGCAGGGTGAGGGGCAGGTGATGTGATACCCCAATACCCGCCAGGCAACTCTGTGAGACCCCTATGCCCTCCTCACCTGCCAGGTTCTCATGCACCGCCTTCATCTCCACTTGGGCACGGGAAAACGCCTCTTCGATGGCGCGGTTCTTCTCCTCCTCCATCGCCTGCATCTCCTCCAGCATCTGCCCATGGGCTCGCTCCAGCTCGGCTTCGTACATTGTGATCTGGGAGAGGAACAAGGGGCAACACTGAGCCAGTGCCCTGCCACTGCCACACTGTGTCACCTGGCGAGCACCAGGCAGGCAGGAAATGTGGGATGAGTTCTGATTTACACCTGTCACTCAGACCTGAGCTCGGAGCTGAGCTTCTGTCTTCTGGGAGCTCTGCAGCTGCTGCTCCATCTCCTTTAGCACCTGCCTCTGCATCCCCACTTGCTCCTGAAGGTACTGGTTTCGGGACTGGGTCTCGCACAGGGCTTGTTTCGCCTTGGCTGACTCCACCTCCACCGTCTTGATGACGTACTGGGGGGAAAAGCACCCAGAGATGGGATGTACTTGGGAAACAGCACCCAAGGGGCCCAGGATGGAGCTGGTGTTGGCCCAGGGGAGATAGTTCAGGAAATCATGGTGCTGTGCTGATGTGCTCAGGGCAGAGATAGATGACACTTTGCAGGGCACTCACTGGGTACCGCAGGGCACTCAGCCCAGCCAGGATTGATGCAGAGCTCTGTGGTGCTCACCTTTATCTGTTGGGGCTGGGACTTGAGGCTGGCGATGGTCTCCTGGCTGTCCCGCAACCGCCGGCTGAGCCTCTCCTCCTCCTCAGCTCTCTCGGCCAGGGAGTCCTTGAGCCGCAGCTCCACCTCGGCCAAGCGGTTTGTCTTCTGCTGCA